AAAAGAAAAAAAACAACTCTAAGACATTAAGGAAAGGAGTACTTCTTTTTGTTTGTGTAGGGGAAGCCTCCTTCAATCAAATCATTATAGATCCCAGTCATTTCATTAAGATATGCATTGGCAAAGAACTTTTTACCTTTTATGTTAAAAATCTTTTTGAAATGGTTGTATCTTTAAGTAATTTTCATCAAATGTGCATTATTAATAATTGTGTTTACAATTCAACTCTGAAAAAAAACAGAGCAATATGGTCCGAGGAAAGAAAAAGAATAATAATTTCAATCTCATACAGGTTTTTGTCGCAGAAATTTTGAGTCAATAAAAGAATTTTAATGAAAAATATGTAATATTAAATCTTCAGGAGTTGAAAGGAAATATGATTTTAAGGAGAGAAAAAAAGCAATTGTTATTGTATCTTCAATTGTTAATGGAGACTTTGTTCATAAATTTTAATTGGGTATTTATGGGTAGCAAATCACTTTAGTATTAAGATGTCATCACATATATTTAAAAGCTCTTCTAAAATTTTATTTGAAAATGTCAATATTTATAATACAGTGGAATTTATAACCTCCATAGCTATTTAAACATTTATAGTAATGATCAAATATTTTAGAACTCATCTTCAAAATGTGTGATCACATAGTTTCCCTAAGTTTGACTGCCATTAATCTAATGCACTGGTTGGTCTACAAATATGAACATGACTTGATGGCATGCAGAATTACTGTCAATGTATATGTGTGTGTAATCCTTTAGCCATTCTTAAATTTGTATCTTCTGTAGGCTGGTGGAAAATATCACTGAAATTCATGAGGCCGCTTGAATGTTTCTCCTTAAATGTGAGTATGAATGAAGTAAGACAGAACAAGGGACTCTTAGATCTGACAGCATTCATCCTTCTCAATTTGCAGACATTGTGTGCGAGAAATTATCAAACTGTCATTCTGAGATACTGTCTCTACAGTATCTAAGGTTATCTGCCTTAGCTTCCCCATTAAGCAGAAGTGTTTCCTTCTGTCAAGAGATTGAAACTTCTGTTTAAAATGACTGATTCCTGGGGCGCGTAGGTGGCTCAGTCAAGCACCTGACTCTTGACTTCCGCTCAGGTCATGATCTCATAGTTTGTGGGTTTCAGCCCCACATCAGGCTCTGTGCTGACAGTGTAGAGCCTGCTTGAGATCCTATCTCTCTTCCTTTCTCTGCCACTCCCCTGCTTGTGCTCTCTCTCTCTCTCTCTCAAAATAAATAAATAAACTTAAAAAAAAAAGACTGATTCCTGGTGGTGTAGAAAATAAATTGTCCAGAGAGGGGTAGATCTAAGAATAAAAGCCCAAGTTAAGAGGAGAGTGAGTGCTTTAAAGCCTCATGCTGCCAGTTTTTGTTTACCACCAAAGCAGGCTACAAGTGATAGCAAAGCACATTAGTAAGAAGCAAAATAGGCATAGGGATTAACTAATGCAGTCTCCATACCTAAAGGTTCTACTCTGATCAAGTTCTTAAGCAAAGGCTAAGATTAATATAGGCATGTGTAATATTTGTGATTTATAATTAGAAATATATATTTGATCTGTGTCCCCACTTCTGACACACAGCATCCAAAACTCTTGGAATTTCATTTCGTGAAAGGGATAGAGGTGTCTTTTGTTTATGTTAATGAAGCGATTTAGGAAAGGCACCTAAGGATGGCTGGTGGCAGAGGAGCCAACTATATGATTAGAGGGTTGGAACTTCCAACTGAACAGTAAACTCCTGGCTTAGTAAGGGGTCCCCACCAGGACTCTGTTCTAACACTATGACTGTCTCCTTCCAACCTGTGTGCATTCCGATATTCATACCAAATCCAAACAGGCTATTAGATATCAGGCTAAAAGTTTTTAATATCATCCCTACCTGGAGGGAAACACAATACATACAACACATGACAAATATAACAAATAGTCTAGTAGGTGAGAAAAAGCTAATGTGGGCTAATGGAGAAACACAAAGAAAAGGTTTTTAAAGTTTAAATTAAGTATATTGAGATGGGGAAACTACCCTGAAATACCCGGTGTGGAGGCCACTTTCAGGCAAGTAGGCTTGAGCATTGGAATGTAGAAAGGACCACGGCGTCCACCTGGCTGAATATAAACAGGCCCATCAGATGACCCACCTCAAAATATCCATCAGCCCTAACTGACCAATGGGCTACTTACAACCAGGCACAGTTACCAAAAAGGAAGATCCTATACATCACCATACGGCCTCATCTTCCCCCTGTAAATATGGCCCCCACCCACTGCCTTGTTGCAGACAGCCTGTCCTCTGCTGTCCTGCCCACCACTCCCTGGCGGTGTATTCAATAAACTTTTATGCCTTTGTTCTGCCTCAGGTGAATCTTTTCACTGTCCACCGGCTTCCACCTGATCGTCACCCCACATTTGGGGGCCTCCATCCTATCCTGAGACACCCCATTGAGACACCACCCCTGGGTGAGCCCAGTGTAACCACAAGAGTCCTTGTAAAAGGGAAGCAGGAGGGTCAAGACAGAGAAGGACATGATGTGGCAGTGGTAGTAGGGGTCAAAATGATACAGTTGCAGGTTTTGAAGATGGAGGTCAGCCACGAGCCGGGAGTGTGGCAGCCGCTGGAAGTTGGCAAAGTCTCAAGGTTTCACTACCCTTCCCCCAACCCCACCCTGAGACTCTGGAAGTCATGCCGGCTCCCTTGCCAATGCTTTGATTTTAGGTTGGTGTGACTTCTGACCTTCAGAAGATAAGATAAAAAATTTATATTGTTTAAACCACTAAATTTGTGATTATTCGTTTCAGCAGCGATAGGAAACCAATACGGCAGGTTATAAGTCTGAGGCTGCTGGTGGCTGTTTTTGCCATCACTTGGCCAAAGCTTACTTCGGAATAAAGCCAAAATAAAGAAGAGCTAGTGCAGGGCAAGTTATGGGTGACATCATTTGAATACTTGGACCCAGACTTCTTGAAGAGGTAGTTAGCTTGGGTTTTTCAGTTTTTTTTACACCAACTAGTTTTTTGGGTTTTTGCTTCAGTCACTTTGACCTGGGCTCACTCTTACTTGCATATGATGTGGAAAATACTGGGGCTCAGAGCTGACAGCTAAGAAAGAATTCTTGAGCCGTCTTCAGTGCAAAAAGGTAGTTTTATTGAAGCAAAGGGACAAGACCTGTGGGCAGAAATTGCTGCATTGGGGTTGTGAGTGACTGATTCTTCACTTGGGAGTTGGGAGAGGTAAAGACAAAGGGAAGTTTCCAAAAGGACTTTCATATGTTAAAGAGAACTCTCAAGATCCTGGAGGCCTGGCTATTGTCAAGCTAAGGTTGTTTTCCCTCTAAGAAAGTATTAACAGTAAGACAGTAGGAGTTCCTGGAGGAATGTTCTACTCTGCCTGCCTCAAGTATTTGTCAGTGGGCTGCAGGTTATAAGGAAATTTAATTTGATCTACATTTCTTTCTGCCTTTGTTCCCTACATCACTATACAGCTTATGTACAGTATTTTTCTTTAATACTTCAATTTTACTCATAATAACCCTGGTTTGGTAACAATATACTTGTGCTCATCTGCAAAAGCGACTGATTGAGCAAATTAAGGTACATCCCAAAGATGTAAAATTTTATAGCCATGGGAACTCATGCAATGGAAAAACTGTTTATGTGGGAAAGTATTTCAGAATATATTAGTTTCGCACTAGAGGTAAAAAAATCAGAAAAAAAAGAGCACTCACAGCAATACCCAGTCCTATGAAAAACAGCTCAAAAAGTTACAAAAAAGGTTTTCCTATGATAATTTGGGTTTTTTAAAACTACATTCTTCATTGAATAACACAGTGTGACACTTGGAACATTTATGGAGCACCACTGCCAAAAACCGTGTTTTAAATTTAAAATGTAATTGGGGCTCCTGGGTGGCTCAGTTGGTTAAAGGACCAACTTTGGCTTAGGTCATATTCTCCTGGTTCAGGAGTTCAAGCCCTGAATTGGGCTCCTCACTTACAGGGTAGAATCTGCTTGGAATTTTCTCTCTCTCCCTTTCTCTCTCTGCCCCTCCCCCATTTGCACTCTCTCTCTCTCCCTCTCTCTCAAAATAAATAAATGAACTTTAATAAATAAATAAATAATTTTGAAATGCTATTGAAAAATGCATCAGACAAGTTAAAAATATTAAAAATCACAAGCCAAATAAGTATAAACTAGTATTAAGGTACAAAATCTCTATGTAGAAGCATAATAATGGTACTCCTGTTAATTCTACTTTAACTTTAACTAATAATGCTAAATGAAATCAGGTAGTATGCAATTATACCCTAGAAAGAGTGAGAACAGTGTGCATATTATACAAGTGTGTGCACATTATAGCACCATTTTCATGCATTTCTTTCTCAAAATATATCTATGTATCTGTCAAATTAATAAGATTGACAGGCTGTAGCATTTGCCACTCTCTGGGGATGCAGAATGTCCACTGATTAATGAACCATACACACAATGTGTGATTTTAGGCAAGTTAGCCTCTCTGAGGTTTAATTCCTCATATCAAATAGGGTTATCAAGAGTACCTAAAGCATAGATTTGCTCAAACTACTAAATGAAATAATCCATATTCTGCACCTATCAGAATGTGGGGCACACATACATATGCAATAAGTGTTAGCTACTATTATTATTATTACTATTATTATTATTATTAGCTATTATTATTATCAATATAATATTGTCATTATTAGTCATTTTCTGTATATCATATAGTCTCTGTTTTCTCTGAGTTAGCCCAGAATCAACTTTTGTTGTATCATGTTTATTGAGGAAATAAGGAAAATACTATCAATGAATTAACTTCATTAAAAAAAATCCTATCTGTGAATTAAGGAATATTGTAGGTATTGTTGCCATTGAAATGAATAAAATTCAGTCTCTAATAAGTAAAGCTTGCTCTTAAAACAAACAAACAAACAAACAAACAATACACTTAGGGTTGAAAACCTAAGGGAAAAAAGAGGAAATGGTCAGCACTACCTGGGCAAGTTGGGGACAAGGACTTCGAGAAGAGGAGACACTTCAGAACACCTTGAACACTAGAGAAGTGGCTGAGTGGGGATGGGCATTCCATGCTGAGGGACCAGTTATTTTTATTACTATTTTGAGAATTACTAAGGCTTACAGACATCCTTTCTGTGTTTCCTCTGGTTCGATAGAATAGTATGTTTTTTTTCTGGAGAAGCTGATGATTCCCTCTCTATGCTCCTGGTACCCCAACCACTCACCCTTCCCCTTCCCCCGACCTCTGCACAGATGCTGAGGTCTGAGGTTTCTGTAAACCTCCCTCTGTTGCTCCTGTCACTGTGCCCTCCATGAGAGCACACAAATACATCGCAGCATCCTCCAGCTGGGCGGCTGAGATCCTGAGACTGAAGGATTTGTCTGCCTTCTGGAAGTTCACAGAGAAGCGATTATTTGTTGCATTCTCTTGCTTATAAGCTTCTTGGCGAATAATGAGAACCATCTCCCTGCTGGGAGGCTGTTTGTACCAGAACAAATAATAATTACTGTCACTAGTGTCAAACGTGCAGTCCAGGGTCACAGTCTCTGCCTCGTGCACAGACATTTCTGGTTGAGTCTGGGTGACCTTCTGGGCCATGCTGGATCCTGTGGGAAAGAGGAGAGGGTATCACACCAGACAGATAAGGCAGGCAGACTCACAAGCTGATCCCATTCCCTACCACCTTTAGTCTTCTTGATCAAACTTCAGGCAATATCCATAAACGTCTTTGCCCCCAATAGCCAGCACCAATGAGGAGGTAAGATGCCTGTGTTCCTGATCTTTCTTCCTATTTCCCAGTCCTGTTGGATAATAGGAAAAGCAAATACGTGTGCCTTTCTTACCAAGATAGGTGGAAACCACGAATACCCACAGCAAACCAGAGCAAACCATGCTGGCGGCTCTCTCTTGCAGGGTGAAAATTCTCCTGCTCTGATCTGAAACTGGGGGATCAGCTGTGCTCAGTGACGTCACTGCTCCAGACCAGGAAATGTATGGCAGGTGGGTGGTTGGTTCTGTCTTGCTTAAAGAAGTGCATCAAAGCTTTTTGTCTTTTGCTTCAGAGAATGAAAGTTTGGTTGTAGTGGCAAATGAAAAGAGATGTCAGAACTGTAATTTATTCTGAGATAACAATCAAGAAGTGAAGGAGCTGGTAAATTGTTTTTGTAAAGATGTAATCTAGGAGGGGAGGATGGGGTGGGTGGGGAAAAGACAAGCAAAGCTAATGTAATGACCTCAGTTTTCTCTGCCAGCTCTCTCTCTCTCTTTTCTTTTCTTTTCTTTCCTTTTCTTTTCTTTTCTTTTCTTTTTTTTTCTTTTTTAAAGTTTGGAAGCCAATATCCTAATGGTCTCTGGGTTGCCATACACAAGTTTTGGTTATATTATTCTTTGACTGATTCTGTATTTTAATTATTTCTCCAAACTTCAAAATAATGATAAAGACAACAGCAATGCTCAGATAGTCTAGAGAAAATTGGAACCAGGATTTTGATACCTAATGCACTGTTATTTGCTTGAAGAGTTTATTTTTTATTTTTTTTGTAATTTGAGAGAGAGAGAGCATGTGGGGGAAGGGGACAGAGCAAGAGAGAGAATACCAAGCAGGGTCCACACTCATCCTGATGTGGTGCTCCAACCCATGACCTTGGGATCATGACTTGAGCTGAAATAAAGAGTCTGAAGCTCAGCTGACTGAGTCACCCGGGCCCCGCTCTCCCTTTTTAAAGAATATCTGGCTTAGGTGAGGTCAGTGAGCTCTAAAATACCAGTGGCAAATGTTCCCATAAGGACTTTTGTGCACATGTATTCATGGCTGCGTAAATGAAGAATCAGAATAATTGGTATAAAACTTATCTGGGAACAGTCTGTGCTGCCCATTTGACAGTGTTTCATTGGCACGCCATTTTTCCTCATGCACACATTCTCCTATGAGGAGACAACGGAGCTAAAATGAAAACTCATACGTATGGAACCACCATTTGCATTAATTTTCTCTTCCTACCGAGTTTTTGTCATCCAGTCTTAAAAAAGGCCATCTCTGTGGTCCAGCTTTATGTAAACTTTCCCTCTGCATAACAGAAAGGGGAACAAAAGATAAGTTAAAAGCTGTCTTGCTGTATAGGGCACGGTGGCCTTACGTCTTCCAACCTGTTTATAAGTTCCACTCGGGAAGTGTGGTAAATAGTAGGCATTTTGCCACCGACGCTGCTCTTAACATCAGAAAACTTAAAGCACAGCCTGGTGAATTGCTGTAGTTGGTACAGTCCTTTCTCCTGTTTGTTTTGTGACGAAATTTCTACCATGCCTACCATTTTCTGGTTGGGGTCATACGACATTTGCAAAACTGTGATTATTTTACAATTTCTCCCTTTTTCTCTTTAGTTTTTATAGGAAACTCTAGATTGATGGACTGTCTTTTGTCTCCATCTCAGTCCCACTGAAGCTATGAATTCACAAACGAGGCTCTCAGGAGGGAGTGTTTTCTGCCTCTTGCCTGCGTTCACTGCACACGCAATGACGTTTGGGGATCCCTAGCCAGAGCGTCTTTTCCTGATCCTCTGGGCCCCACCAATCAGAATTTTAATATCTTCTATCCATCATCTGGTCAGCCCCTAGCTGCCACAGCTGATCAGGCCATTGAACTCTGAAGATGGAATAAGATAATTCATATGAAAGAATTTTCAAGTGGGCAAATATGGGGGTGGGCAGAAAGCTGAATTTACCTTTCTCCATTTTCTTTTTTTAAAAGATAGATATTATATCTAGATGATCCTTGCTTTTGTTTTTTTTTTTCTTTTAAGTCAGAACAGTCATTAGGTTGGGTTGTTTAGGAAACCTATAGAAGGTGGTGAGCAAATCCAGATTATAGATTATTAAGCAGAAAGGAAGGGTGAAGAGAATAGAGGAAGAGGTTAAAAAACAAAAAGCAGGGGCTCCTGGGTGGTTCAGTCGGTTGAGCCTCCAACTTTGGCTCAGGTCATGATCTCAGTGTCCATGAGTTCAAGCCCTGCATTGGGCTCTTTGCTGACAGCTCAGAGCCTGGAGCCTGCTTCCGATTCTGTGTCTCCCTCTCTGTCTGCCCCTCCCCCCACTCATGCGCGCACTCTCTCTCTCTCTCTTTCTGTTAAAAATAAATAAACATAAAAAATATTTTAAAAAAATATATAAAAAACCCCCCAAAACAAAAAGCAGTGCCCCATGCGGGCAGTCTGAGAGAGTTTACTGTGCTCCCTTGGGATAGCAATAGTATCTGGCAACTACCATCACAGGATTCCTCACAGGATTTGACTATAAAAAGTCAAAACTAGGAGAAAAATATGTGGACATCACATGTCTACTCTCACGTTCTCATGGAAGAAGTTTGACAGAGGCAGAAACTAAGGCGCTTCAACAACTCATGGCCCAAGTGCGAGAAGCTGCTCAAGACATCAGGACACTCCCTTTTGGCTGGGTGGATCTCACGGAAGAACACTGAGGGTCCCGGCCCCAGTCACGTCTGCCGTCTCCTGTGTAGTATTCTCATGATCTCATTTCCGTATTTGAAAATACAGTGAACAAAAAAACTGGTGAAAAAATCTTTTTAAAAAGTTTTATTTATATTCTTTATATTCATTGACAATTTTCTTTTGTCAGAGGAGATGATGGGGACTGTTTACTAGCTTCCGACTGGTGGTCCCCATGCAGGGTGTAAGTCCCAGTGCACTTGGGTGCTCTTTGGGGACCGTGAGCTTCCTCTAGCACAGAGTTAGGTGGCTGAGTCTCTCAAGTGCACAGTCTGGATGTGCAGGGAGGCGGGGAGCTGGGACTAACACAGGATCATCCCTTGTGCTCCAAAGCCCTGCTGACCCAGAACAAAAACAAAAGCATTAGATTTATTTTACATACTTTCCATACTATACCCATGGATCTGAAATACTGTTCAAGCAATTACAGTAAATATTAAAATTCTTTCCTTCTTGGATCATCAGTTTTAGGAAGGATTTTTTTCTCTTTTTTCATTTGGTGATTAATTTTCTTAAAAAGAAAATGTTAAAGAGCGGATTACAAAATTCATTTGTTCTTTGAGTCCCTTCTACAAAAGATAGACACTAGTTCTTGGAACCTTCTGGGTCCTCTGGGTTCCTGATGACATAAATTCTCCCAGCTGAAGCCACCAGATCATAAATGTGGCTCCTAGAAGCTCATTTATATTTGGCCTTCCTAAGTCCACGGAAGATTTGATTCTGGAATGTGGAAATCTGACCTAGACTCTTCAGATAAAGAAGGGTTTGTTCCAGAGTTTTCATATGTGAGGGACAGAGATGCTGGAATAAGAGACAGGTTTTTGCAAATAACTGTTGTCAATGAATACAAGCAGTGCTCTCTTCAGGTCAAAGAAATAATAACAGAGGCAATTCCTATGATTTAGTCCTCTACACAAGAAGAACTTGGTTTTGTCAAGAAATCTGTTTTGGAAGTAATCTGTTTACATAAATTTCAGAATTCTGTTTACACAATGAAGAGAACTTGATATTTAGAATTACCTTATTCTTCCCTTTATCACTGCTTTTAAAAATCCTACCTTTTATCCTGTCTTACCTTTTCGATGAAAACTTTCTGTGACAAGGTTAGAATGTACCGATTTTTCTGCTTAATATTCTGTCATGAATATATGATGATTATTAAATATGTTTTAAGCATAATCTTTAGCTTTACCGAACACTTCCCATCTGCCTGACACTGTGCCAAGAGCATTGAGGAATGTTGAAGTATACAAGGCAAAATTCTGTCCTCCTAGAGACTAGAGTAAGAAGCAAGATCGGTACCTTGAAACAATACCAAATGCTTACAAAGGTAAGTCACGGGGCACTTGGGTGGCTCAGTTGGTTGAGCATCTGACTTGATTTTGTTTCGGGTCATGATCTGAGGATCGTGGGATCAAGCCTGCATTGGTTAGGCTCCATGCTGAGTTTGCAGCCTGCTTGGGATTGATTCTCTCTCTCTCTCTCTCTCTCTCCTCTCTCTCATGTGCAAATGCATGTGCACTCTCTCTCTCTCTCTCTCTAAAAAAACAAGAAGGTATATCACTAAGAGTCAAATTGTATGGTTCAGATTCAATGTCTAATTGCATGACATTAGAAGAAAAGGAATTCAAGGATTCTCTGTTAGAGATGAATCTTTGGATGAGATAGAGCCTCAAGGTGTGCTTATATAGGACTAATATGATTTAGCCAGCCTGAGATATACATAAAAGTATATTTGGTAAATTTGGGTGAGCAGAACAAGCAGAAAAGAAATTCAAGAGCTTGAAGTGTTTATGGGTCAGTGAGGAGAATAGACTGAAATAGAGCTATGTTTTGGGAGGAAGTAAGAATGAGGTTTAAAAAGTAGAGGGTGAGCAGACATAGGGTAGGGGATAATGATAAAGAGAGTTTAGATTTGGTACGTAAAGTTTCTGTGCAATGAAAAGACATGATCACACATCTGCAGAGCCTGGGGTTTCATATATGTGACCTGTTTGAATCAGATCAAACAGATCTGTTGAATCACATGGAAGATTTCCAATTAATCACTCAAGTACCCACCTGCTGTTATTAGCAACCAGCCCAGTAAAGTTCACCTCAAACTCTCTTCTGTTCTTTCTCTATTAAATTTTCAAAGAATGTGTTAATTTTTCTTGTCCCCAAATAAAGCCTGAAGCAAGGACTCAGGTGAAAGTAGTTTATTTAGGAAGCAATCTTAGGCAGCAGGAGTAAGAAAATAGGTAGCTTAAGATTGGAACTTGAGGGGCGCCTGGGTGGCGCAGTCGGTTAAGCGTCCGACTTCAGCCAGGTCACGATCTCGCGGTCCTGGAGTTCGAGCCCCGCGTCAGGCTCTGGGCTGATGGCTCAGAGCCTGGAGCCTGTTTCCGATTCTGTGTCTCCCTCTCTCTCTGCCCCTCGCCCGTTCATGCTCTGTCTCTCTCTGTCCCAAAAATAAATTAAAAAAAAAAAAAAAAAAGATTGGAACTTGATTCTGCCCGGATCTCCTGGTAAGCACACAGGAAGTCCCTCTGGGACCCTCTGCTGGAAGGCAGAGAGCTAGGGCATGCCTTGGTCCTCCCTCCCACTGGTTGGGACTTGCCAGCGGAGGTGGTAATTCTTCTTTCAGGCTGTGCTTACCCACAGCCTGAGTGAGCTCCTGAGGAGTCAGAGAAGGCTCTGGGGTAAGAAGTAAAAAAATACACAGTGCATGTGTAATGTTGGATGTTATCAGCTTGAGATGGGTGTGAGTATCCACAGAATTATCTACCATACCTATTGATAGAATCGGAGCTGGGCATTTGGACATGACCAGAAAGCACATCAGATCTTGATTACAATGCTTTCTTTGCACTACTCAGGTGGGTGTTTGCCCTGTATTATTTTCACTACATCACTGAGTCTTCAAGGTTGTGGTGGACTGAATTCCATCTAAAACACTTAATACATGACCTTCAGGCCCCACTTCTTTAACTGGTCCCAAGGCTGTAATTAAAACTCTTCCCCCCCTCCCCGCCCCCCATTCTCTAGATTTCCTTGCCATTGGATAGCACTTTACTGGACTTAGATTGCTTGCCTGATAGGGGGACGCAGGCCTTCATTGCTCAGGGGTCTCAGTTCTTGTTTACTTTGTCCTTTTCAAGCCACAACTGCCACTTGCTGTTTTTATTGGGCATGAAATACTACTCAATGTGAAACACAGATTCCAGACACATTCCTTTTTGCCCCCATTGTGTAATAACAACCCGATGCTTCATGATAATCAGAGTCAATTACCCCTCCTTTCTTTGCCTGCTGGACAATTGGCACAAGGAGTTTGAAATGGCGTAGGCAGTGGTCGTAGCTGCAGGTTCAGTGAAACCCTTACTGGATCCTCTGGTGGAAGCATTCTTCTGCAGGGTCCTAGGAACTCTAATCCAGCAGAGCCTAGGGCTGTAGGAAAGGGCAACACAAATTCTGGAAATGAGTTACAGGGAGTGATAGTAGAAGAGTCTAGTCTACTTCTAGCTCTTCATTTCTAAATTTGCATAATTTAGCCAGGAAGCCAGAGCACCATGTATCAGCCATTGGTTTAATGAATACTATCACTTCCGGGAACATGGCATTCCAACCACTAAGGGTGATGCCGTTGAGCTGGCTTCTTAACTGAGCTTTTAACAAGCCATTCCATCCTTTTTCTAGGTCATCTGACCTAGGTACCATGGGTCTAGGTCAACTTTTTGGTTCATGGTAGGACCAGTGGATCCTTTCCTTGGTCACGCCTTCAACAGTCACATCCACTGTGTTGTAAAATGGGTACCTTGTTCTGAGAGATTCAGTTTTGGACATGGATGGACAATTAAAAGAACAAGCACCAACCAGCAAAATGGAAAACATTATGAATTTTGGAAGCATGAGCTCCCAGGCAAATTATAAAGATTTGCTGGGCAGAGGACATGCTTAGGAAGTCTTATTTGTCACGTATACCATGCAAAGCGAGAAGGGTTACATGTGACACAATGTATGAAGATACTTCGTAAAACTGGAAAACACTACATATGTTATTATTTTTACTGTTATTTTAAGGATTGTAGCTTACAGATATCCATCTCTCTGTGTTTCTTATATTCAGATAGAAGGAGCTTTTATTCCAAGAGAAGTCAATGATTTTCTATGTTCCTGGTGCCCTAGTCACTCCTCCCACCCCGACCTCTGCACAGATGCTGAGGTCTGAGGTTTCTGTAAACCTCCCTCTGTTGCTCCTGTCACTGTGCCCTCCATGAGACCACACAAATACATCGCAGCATCCTCCAGCTGGGCGGCTGAGATCCTGAGACTGAAGGATTTGTCTGCCTTCTGGAAGTTCACAGAGAAGCGATTATTTGTTGCATTCTCTTGCTTATTAGCTTCTTGGCGAATAAGGAGAACCATCTCCCCACTGGGACGCTGTTTGTACCAGAACAAATAATAATTACTGACAATAGTGTCAAACGTGCAGTCCAGGGTCACGGTCTCTGCCTCGTGCACAGACATTTCTGGTTGAGTCTGGGTGACCTTCTGGGCCATGCTGGATCCTGTGGGAAAGAGGAGAGGGTATCACACCAGACAGATAAGGCAGGCAGACTCACAAGCTGATCCCATCGCCAACCACTTTTCCTCTTGATCCAAACCCGAGGCAGCACATATCAGCTTTCTGCCTCCCCATAGCTGGGCTCTGAGGCGATGCAGTTCCTGTGCTGTTAATCTCTGGTTCACAGCCCCATTAGATAACACTATGCATGAAGACCTCCACCTTCCTTACCAAGACAGGTGGACACCACGACTGCCCACAGCACACGGGCCAGCGGCATGCTGACAGCTGTCCCCTGCAGGGTGAGAAGAGGCTCTGGCTCTCAGCTGGGTGTTCTGAGCTCCGCGGCACTTCTGTTTCAGAGCAGGAAATGATCTGACAGGTGGGTGGCTGATTATGTCTCACTGAGGAAAGTTTTCCTAACACTTTCTGGTCTCCCTTTCAGAAAATAGAACTTTGGTTGTATCATTTAAATGAAAATGTGAAAATGTGAAATGTTTTCTGCGTCCTTCTATTCTGGGATGAAAATAAAAGAGACAGGGAGCCGGCAAATTTATTTCTGAGATGCCCCAATCTCGGAGACGAGTGTGGGACCTTGGGTGGTGGCTGGAAGTGGCAGGGTTTCCTTTGAGACAATGGCAGACTCTAATTTTTCTTTAAAAAAATTTTTTTTGACATTTGTTTTATTATTGAGAGAAAGAGAGAGACAGAGCATGAGCATGGGAGGGGCAGAGAGAGGAGGAGACACGGAATTGGAAGGAGGCTCCAGGCTCCTAGCACAGAGCCCAACGCGGGGCTCGAACTCACAAACTGTGAGAGCATGACCTGAGCCACCCAGGCACCCCTCTAATTTTTCTTTTTTTTTTTTTTTTTCAAAAATAAAAATGACAGGGCGCTTAGGTGACTCAGTTGGTTAAGCGTCTGACTTTGGTTCAGGTCATGATCTTACGGTTTGTAGGATTGAGCCCCACAACGGGCTCTGTGCTGACAGCACAGAGCCTTCCACAGAGCCTGCTTCTGATCCTCTGTCCCCCTCTCTCTCTGCCCCTTCCCTGCTTGTGTTCTTTCTCAAAAATAAATAAAACATTAAAAAAAAACAAAAATAAAAATGACAAAACAAATATGAAAGTATGAACAATTAGTTATGAATGATGAGAATATACCTGTTATATTAATGTATTCAATTTTTTTACATTTCTACAATTTCCTAACATACAGAATGAGATAAAGATAGATTTTTTTTTTTGAGAGAGAGTGCACATGCACATGCATACACACATACAGTGGGGGTGGGGGCAGAAGAAGAGAGAGAGAGAATCCCAAGCAGGCTCTGCACTGTCTGTGGGATTTGATCTCATGAATGGTAAGGTCATGACCTGAGCCAACATCAAGAGTTGGACACTTAACCCGCTGAACCACGCAGGCACTCCTAAAGACAGATGTTTGTAACTGGAAAGAGCACTGACTATATTCAGAAGCGGAACATGTGTCTAACTATGCTCGTATTTTCCATGGATTCTTTAAGAAAAAAAAAGTCCTTGTTTGTTCTGTATCAGGAAATGCTAAAACAGCTAGCACTGAGTTGCCTCACCCAACTCATATGAAGAATTGTTTTCCTGACTCTCATTCCATCTTGAGGAAATGTTGAACAAAGAATGTTTTAAAAAAGCATACTATGATTCATTAGAATATTGCTTTTCCAGACAGAGTGACAGAGATATTTATGTAATTCCAGAGTTAGAGTCCCTAAGCTGGGAGTAAGAATGGGGTCTTGTCGCAGACAAGTTAGTGTCTGAGGAGCATGGGTTCTCTGTGACACAGAAGTAGGTGGTTGAGTCTCTCCACTCAGAGAGATGTGCAGGGAGTCATGACGGTTGGGACCAGCCCTGAATGAGGCTAGAAAATCCCATGTTCCACCAAACCCAGTTTGATAGCAATGGAGGAAGGAGCACCATTATTTCTTCTAGATCATCTCCATCTTTGCCCTATGATTTGAATTCCTGTATCTTGGTTTTGGATCTCTGAAAGTCAGTTCTAATACAAGGATTTGTGTGTAAGCAGTTTATTTCCAGGTCATTCCAGGAAACATTGGTAAGAAGTAAATCAGGAGGGGGAAGGAGGCCAATACAGGATGTTGTCAACAAGCCAATTAATACCATTGGCAGTTGGAGCTTAATCTAACTGGTAAATCTGGGAGACAGCATAGCATACCCTTTGGAGTTATTCCAAGTGAGGCATGAAGGAGCTGGAGAATTCATCCGTAAACTCATTGTTCATCACTGAGTGAGGGCTGCTTTGGGGGCATTAACTCCCCAGCACATCTGGCTAGCCCTGCACGCTGGCCACATGTGTTCCCATGGCCTGAAAATAGTCCTCAGAGTTGCTAGGTTTTTCAGCGTGTAGAGGTGACTGTCAAGGGGATATGAACAGAACACCAGTAGCCACTGTACAGCCCGTCCCTTGCACTGCTGGTATCCACTCATGCTCTGTGTCAAATCCACCCGGATCATTAGTTCTTAAAAAAGATTAACAAAAGGATTAGTGAGACAAATTGTAATCACAATAGTTGATTTCATGGCTGTGATTCATATATACCAGCTCTCTCCATCTACCTTCTATACCACTCATTCTTGATCCTCTCCACCTTTGGCTAATACATCTATTGGTCTAAGTTACTATCTCAGTGAGATAACCAAGATCTTTACCCCTGATTATCAGGGTCTAAGCCCCTGATTATTCTTCCCTTGTCAGGTCATAGTTGTTACAATTGCCTATTTATAGTAATCACTGCCACAAAAGCACTCAAAGTCACCCCAGTAAATCCCCTGAAATTTAGCCGTATTTTCCCAGTGCCCATTAGGTAGCAACCACCCTATATCCTCATGATAATCACAGTTGATTGCCCCTGCCAGTGTTGTAACCCCCTTCTTGGCCTTCTGGTCTTCTGGCACGAAGACCTCCAAATGACCAAGCGATTTATGTAACATCAGGTTAGGTGAAAAACCTCTGTGTTTCCCTAGTAGCAGTGCCCTCCTTTCCTCTTCAAGGGCAACTGGGACCCCTGGTTCAGAACAGTGTGAGGACAGGATACATCAACATCCAAGTGAGTCACTGAAGGTGAGAGTCGATGGGGAGATAGTCCTGCTTCCACCCCTTGGCTCCAGATAGATGTTCCTATCTAATAGGAACATAGCATCATAAAGAATAGCTCTCCAACCTCTCAGAGCACTATCCCTAAACTGGTCCTTTCACTGAAACTTTAAGTGATCATTCCAATGTGGTTTGTGGATAATACTCCAGAAGCGTCAGCATACCCAATGGTCACATGTCCATTGTTACACCTCCTTACAATCAAGCGGATCTGTTGATGCAAAGGTATGTGAAATCCTTTACTCATCATGATAATCAACCAGCCACTCTGAGTCCTCAGTCCATGTTTCTGTGTGTGGCAGTGTGGAGGGAAGGCAAATCATGCCCAGAGTATGCATTAACCCCAACAACCCAATAAGAAAAGATTTCTGCTATCTGCAGGGTGGAAGTGGTCTAATGTAGTCAACTTGGCAACCAGCGGCTGGCTGGTGCCCTTGAGGGGTGATTGCATATTAAAGGCTCAGTGTTGTATCTGCTGCTGACAGGTTGGATGTTTGGCAGCAAAGTAGCTAAATCCAATGTAGTGAGAGAAACCCATGCTTCTGGGCTCATGGAGAACCCCTACTCTGCCACCTTGGCCAATGTGTTCACAAGCCTATGTAAGCACTGAAATGGACTAGAGGGGCACCTGGGTGACTTAGTTAGCTGAGTGTCTGACTTTTGATTTTAGCTCATGTCATGATCTCACGGTTCATGGGATTGAGGCCAGAGTCGGGCTCTGTGCTGACAGTGCAGAGCCTGCTTGGGATTCTCTCCCTCTCCCTCTCTTTCTGCCCCTCCCGGCTCACACTCGTATTCTCTCTCACTTTCTCAAAATAAATAAATATTTAAAAAAAAGAAAAAAGAAATGGACTAGAGACAGGCTGGTGATGTCCTCTGAATGGGTCATCTTTTCCACATGGCCATTGAGCTCCTTGTAGTGAATGCTTTGTGGTGGCTATTGATGTGAGACACAATGACCAGAACACCGTGCCTGCACTCACTGCTTCTTGAGTTCATCGTTGCCCCAAATGTGACTCGTCCTCCTCCCACTCACCTGCTCAGGGTTCTGATCCTAGAAAGAGCAGTTGTTTGGGACTTTGAAAGACCTCTGGCTAGTAACTTCTGGTTATACCCCTTGACTCTTCCCTAACCAGCTAGCCTCCACTTTTCAGGAGGAACCAGACTTTCTATCATACTGTGTTATCTTTACACTTCGTCCTTTATAAACTTTATACCATTTTCCCTCAGCTTTTTGTTCTTGATCTTCTAAGCCAGCCTTTTCAGAATGTCAAAATATATTTTCTTTCACTACTGAATTTGATGGTCATGGCTTTTAAGATTTTGTATTTTCAATGTATTTGTAAAAGTCTACAAAAGAGCTCAAGGGTGAGAATTTTATTCTGTTCTCTCTTTGTTCTTTAGTGCTCTCCCCTTTCTGGTATTAAGCCTCAGGATCTTGGACTAGGTTTAATGGAGTAAGGACTTCACACTGAGAAACAAAATACATTAGATGGTATTTGAAAACATTATCCCTCTGCCCAAGATCTTCAAATGAAATATTTGACATCACGTTATTAAAAGTCCCTCGTGTTTGCTCAAAGTTAAGTTCAGCGCCCTGGAGCCCTTGTAGAAGTTGGCGCAGGGCTGAGCAGGGTTTGGGTGCAAGGCACAGGCGTCTGAGAAGCACTGTGCTATCCACTGCACACAGGAAGGTGGCTGAGTCGTAGAGGAGTGAATCTTTCAAGTGCAGAGAAAAGTGCTTGTCCCCTTTGTTAGACGTGGCTGTAAATCTTCCTCTGATCTTCTCTTTCTCATTTGATCGAATATGTATCAGAGTGTGGATGCCTTCCGTGGGATCCTGCCTAAACCATTGGAAGAAATCCAGAGTACTGTCTTTGTAAGTGCAGTTTATTGTGAAGCTCTCGCCTTCCTGGACTGTCAGGGAAGGAGGGCTCTGTTCCACTGGACGCTGTCCATTTGACCCTGTTCAGAGAGAGTGAGAAGACTTTTCATACATAAGAAACTGTTTTGTTTTGTTTTGTTTTGTTTTAAAGAATTTTCCCTGAGGGACCCCGAGGATCCCTCTGGATTTCATTTCCAGAGCTGCACCCTATCCCTTCCCCTCCCCCTCACGCACAGGTTAGCTTCACACACAGGAGCATCAGCAAGGCTTGTAGGGCAATCTCCATTCCTGCTTCTTCCTGGAGTCTCTGACCATTCAGTTTGGAGCCCTGGAACTGACAATGTTCATTGAGCCTGGTTCACTGTTCTGGATTCTTCTGCTTCTTTTGGTTTGGAAGCTTAGGTGATCTTCATACTGTTTTCACAACCAATCAAAAGCTGACCTGTCACGTCAAACTCATCATTGAATATACTCTTTCCTGCTTCTCCCATCACTCAGTCTAGTTCCCAGCCAATCACTTTTGCCAGTGGAATCACTGCCCCCAGGTGGTCTGAACTTTTTTTATTATACTTTTTTTTCCCTTTTTTTCCCCTTTAATACAGTGTAACTCATTATGCTAGATCAAAGGATGATAGAACATACAGAGAGGGGGGAAGCAAACAAAATAGAAAAAACCCAAAACATAGTGTTAAAATGTTCTCCAGTAATGACTGTCTGAATCTTCTTAGTGCCTGGAATGCTCTTCCTTCCACTGCTCACCTTTAGTGAAAATCTACAAAGTTCATTGCCTATATGGCCCCATACTACATTCTAAGGGATATAAATCAAAGGTTGAGAAAAGACCTGATCCTTCTCCTCAGTTGATTAGGGTCTGTCATGGCTTTGTTGTATCTTTCAATCTGAACAGGTTAAATTAGCTGAAAAAGTCAGAGCTCTTCCAGATTCTCCCTGAAAATATAAAGGAGGGAAATATAATATATATATTTTTAATTTAAAAATGTTTTTATTTTTTACATTTTATTTTTATTAGAAAGAGAATATGCAAGGGGGAAGGGGCGAGGGAAAGGAGAGAGAAAGAGAATCCTAAGCAGGTTCCACACCCAGCACAGAGCCTGACATGGGGCTTGATCTGATGAAAACCATGAGATCATGACCTGGGCAGAAATCAAGAGTCAGATGCTCAACTGACTGAGCCATCCAGGCGTCCCCAATATCTTTTCTTTTAATACATTCTCAGATGTGAGAAAGCATCCTGGTGTCTGGCTAACTCTGAAAATGGTAGTGCTTTTGCAAAAATCTGAGTGTTTCTTATATTTCAGTCTGGGCACCTGTGCAAAGTCCAGTAATTTCTCCTGTTTAGTTTTTACATATTAGTTATCTGAAACCCTGTTTTATGGTCGCCTATATTTACAGAAAGGATTAGGAACTGGAAGAGGAGAGATTAAGGAAGAAAGTTCTCTTCTATCCTTTGCATCCAGTCCTCACTCTGATGATTCTAGATACCGACCTAGAATCGACTTAACCACATTTCCTCAGGTACCTTCCATGGCCGAAGCCCTGACCCTGGCACACCAATCCCCATCCTTCCGTCCTTCACTTCTTGCTGTGGGGCTGAGAGTTGGTGATGAGTAAAGGGCTGTGATCTTCTTTGATGTTCATTGTGGATGTCAGTCTTCCACTCTGCATGTATGAAATTATGTACAACAGGGAGACTGTTGTCTCCTGAAGCTCCATGTCATAGTAACTCAGCTAGGAGTTAGCTCCCTCTTGGATCTGCAGAGTCAGAGGAGAACTATGCTTTACCTTCCCCTGTCCTCTGATTTCTGCTAGAGAAGAAAACAGCAGACCCATGGGGTGGTCAGCGTAGAATCTGGCTGCTTGTAAATTGCTGCACTTTCTTGGGAACATGATGGTTCTTTTCCTAATCAGAGCACTGTCAAAGGGCATCAGATCTGGAACCACAAAAATACTAGCAAAACTTCTTCGTGTCTTTTTAAAGATTTTCTCTCCAATGGTGAGGAATGTTCTCAAAGGTGGGAATTTTAGTCCGGGAAGAATAAAAGGAATTATTTCAGTTGTTTGGGAGAAGTAGCAATTATACGAGCATTTCCCTTGGAATTTTTTTCTTTCCTGTCTCAGGTATGATAATTTCAACCTGCCAGATAGGTGCCAACAGGAATATGTCTGGTTAAAGGTGATTTAACAATTTTCCTGAGCAATGATGGACAGGGGTTGTAGTAGGTCAACAATAAATGTTGAGTGCCTGCTATCAAAAGCTCTTTCAACTTAACCCTGTGGGGATGTTTAATAAAATGTACAAAATAGAATATGCTAATTATGCAGTTGGGGGAGACTGGAAAAACACGTGTAAAATTAACTAACTCTAGAGGGCACTGGATGATAGGTATTAGCACTTATAACAATATAAGCAAAGTATAGGAGTGAAATATTTGCAGTTAAGAATGAATAGCTTTGGGATGCCTAGACGGCTCAGTTGGTTAAGTGGTTAAGCATCTCACTCTTGATTTCGTCTCAGGTCATGTTCTCATGATTTGTGAGTTCGAGACCCACATTGGGCTATGAGCTGACACTGCAGAGGCTGCTTGGGGTTCTCTCTCTCACTAGTGCTCTCTCTCTCTCTCAAAATAAATAAATAAATAAACTTAAAAATTACTTTTAAAAGAATGAGTAGCTTAATAACTGGCATAAGAGCTAGCAAGAAAAATCATGTTCATCTCCATTGATATGGAAAAGGCATGTGACAAAATACAAAACCCATTCATGTTAAAAACTCTAAAAAAAAAAAAGGAATTACTAACAAATTCCTTAACACAAAAAAAAATGCATATGCATATGTCACAACCCCAAACCAACACCTACTTATGGGGAAATGCTAGAGACTTCCTTATGAAAGGTAAGGGAAAGACAAAGTCTGCTATCCTCACCACTATTTAACAGCATGTTGGAGCTACTAGATAATGCAGTCAGCTCAGAGAAAAAGAATTTGAAGCATAAGAATTGGAAAGAAGTAAAACATCATCTGCACGTTTGCAGAAGAAATGATTATATACCAGAATATCTAAAAGAGAAAAAGACAGGTTATAATATAAACAACAGTTTAAGTACAGTATTCATAGCATTCACATGCAACCCCCCCCAAAAAAAACAGATAAAAAAACATGTAGAAGAAATGAGCACATTATTGCATAAAAGTAAAAAGAAAGAGAAAGGAAGGAAAGTTCTTTTTTTAAAAGTTTATTTTGAGAGAGAAAGAGCAGGGGAGGGGCAGAGAAAGAGGGAGAGAGAGAATCCCAAGCAGACTCAGCACTGTCAGCTCAGAGCCTGTTGCAGGGCTTGATCCATAAACAGTGAGATCATGACCTGAGCTGAAATCAAGAGCCTGACAGTTAAATGACTGAGTTACCCAGGTGCCCCGAAAGGAAGGAAAATTCTTAAGTGCAAACAGACTAGGCAGACAGGTCAGTTAAATGGAATGGCAAGTTAATAAATCGGCCCAACTGTGTATGGGTATTTAGCACATTACTGACAGCATCTCATATCAGTGTGTGTGGGTGGTGGGGGGAATGACTCCTCAGTATGTTGTAATAACTTGTATCTTTTCTAACTGCTTCTATTAGATTGTGATAGTGTCCCATTTTAGACCAGTGGTCTTCAAACTGGGGTTTATGTGGAACTGGAGTTGTATGAAGAGTTTCCATGGGTTCTGCAGGCATAGATAATTCTAGAGGAATCCAACTATATATGATTTTCTTAAAACTTATCTGCTCTAGAACATGCCTGAGATCCAGATGTCATGCTGCTGCTTCTTTCCCATTTCCCTTTCCACTCTACCCTTCCCTTAAAAAAAAAAATAAATAAATAAATAAAAGAAAAAAAGTAGTATACATCTCAACCATCCTGAATCTTAGTATGGTGTATTACTTCAGAGTGCCAAATCTCCAAGGTACCATACAAGGAGATAATTCAATGGCTTCTTCAGAGGGAGAATTCTTAACAGCTAAGCAAGAACTATAACAAGACAGGGCTATACTTCAATTAGACAACAACCTCTAGACAAGATTCCTTGTTTCTGTCTATCTATCTATCTATCTATCTATCTATCTATCTATCTATCTATCATCTTAGAATTAGTGTTTAGAAATGAATTGGTTGTTGCAGGGGAAAGGGAAACATTTCCTTTCTTCGCTTCTAGGTTTTTTGACTGGTCTAATAATTAAAGTGACATAAGACAAATTAACAGAAGAAAAACATTTATTTATTTGTAAGGAGTCCAAAGATATATGAGTCTCAAAGAAGGACCAAAGCAGGCAGCTTTTCTTTTAGACAAAGAAACAATACATTTGTCAGGAATTGACAAGACAAAGGGGCTTGGGTTTGAAGTAGTAAATTAGTAAAGAAGTAGCAACTTTGTTTATACAGCCTTCTCAGCCTTAAATTCCCTACCTCTAGTAATAAGGATCGCTTTTACCCTCCAGGAGCAGGAATGGTGGGCTTCACATGGGGAATTTATTTCCTGCTTTCAGGAGGCCAGAGGAGGGTCAGAGTGACCTTCTTGCCCTGGCTGTGTCTTAAGTGACTGTAATTCAAAATAACCAGTATGCCACAGTGGCATAATTTGGGGTGGCCTGACATGAACCCCATTACTGTCACTGAAACCCAGCATGTAACATCATTATTTGAATTGAAAAACGAAGTCAGACTTCTTCTGACAGGAAATAAATCTTATGTGGCCAGTTTGTTTGACAGTGTGGGGTATGAAGAAAGAGAGAATTAAAGACTCCAAGGTGTTTGGCTTTAATATAACTTCTTTTCTTTTCTTTTCTTTTCTTTTCTTTTCTTTTCTTTTCTTTTCTTTTCTTTTCTTTTCTTTTCTTTTCTTTTCTCTTCTCTTCTCTTCTCTTCTCTTCTCTTCTCTTCTCTTCTCTTCTCTTCTCTTCTCTTCTCTCTACTTTTCTTTTTGAGATAGAAAAGAGCAAGGGAATAGCCTATGGAAGGGAATCAGACATTATGTTTTGGATATGTTAAATATAAGATGCCAATTAGACATCCAGTGTAGATATTATACCAATTACAGTATATATGAGCCTGGCTTTCAACAGAGAAGGCTGGGTTGGAGATGTAAATTTGTGAGTCATCAATGGGTAAGTCAGTGGTAATTAAAATCATATTTCTAGATGAGATTGTAGGGGAGGCAGAGCTTTACCTTTTCCTCCAGCTAGCCCTGAAAATTAACTTGAAAGAAAATGGATGAGCAGGGGGAAAACATGTAGATTTTATTTAATAATTTTTACATGTACAGGGAAGCCTTCATAGAAAAATGGGAACCCCAAGAAGTAGCCAGGCTTAAGTATTTATATGCTAAGTTGAACAAAGAGAGACAACTGTGGACAAGTAATAAAACATATGGGTAGATCAAAGGGGAAGAGGGGAGTGACTTTAACAAGGTCTGTTTGCACAGATTTCCTTCAGCACAACCTCCATCTTTGGTGTTATGAATGCTTCTTTTCTGGCTGAGGGAGGGTATCGTTTTTCACCTCCTTCTCTCAGGAAGAAAAAGAGGTGGTGGGAGAGGGGTGGCATGCCAAAAGCGCTTTTTGCACCTGCTATTTTCCAGTTGCCTTCTGCTCAAAATAATCAATATGCCAAAGTGGCACATTTTGGGGTGGCATGTCCTGACCTCCTTTAAGATTATTTAAAGAGAACGAATGTAGATAGAGAATATGTTTGAGAACTGAACCCTGCGACAACACAACATGTAGAGGTCAGCG